TGCCGCTGTTAGAACCCATGCACACGGAAAGGCGGCCAGTACATTCTCATGACGCAGGAGTGTAAACGCGGAGCGAGTTCACCTCCCAGTACGCGTTGACGAACGCTTCCGGGTGGTTATCGACCACTGCAGCGCGCCAGATCAGCACCCACGGACGATAGGCGTCATGGATAGGGATTCACGTACAGTCGACACACGACCCGCTGCACCCGCTAGTCGGGTATACGTTCCCGGCCCAGTCACCCTGCACGTCAGTCCGCTCAGTCAGTCCGACGGCTCTGCTCAAAGAGGGGCAGGGCACTCACGCAGAACGTCAGGTCAAACACGAACATATGCTCATCGAAATGCGACTGATAGTCGCACTCCCTCCCCATCGGGAAATGCGCGACCGGCAGGCCCCACGCCGGACTCGGGCTCACCTCCCTCGTCTCCTCCCCACCTCTGATCTCCCGTGGCACGCCCGGGTCGTCCCTCCCCCAGAACCACCCCCGGACCCCGTCCTCCTTCGAGCGCGCCATGACGAACCACCCGCCCCCGCGCGCGTTCAGCTGCGCGCCGTACGACGCGGGCGGGCCCCCGACGCCGCAGCCCTGGTTGTAGTTCACGCGCGTGTCGCAGTTCGTGGAGAGCGCCGTGCCGGTGTGGGCGCGCGCGGGCTCCGCGGGCATCACGCAGCTGGGGAGCGTGTGGAGGGACATGGTGTTGCCGACTTGGAGGTTCACGCCTGGGTGGGTTTATTATTGGTTAGCGGGAATGTGGGGGCGGATGGCGGGAGAGGGACGGACCTTCGATGATGTCGATCTCGCCGCCGGAGGGCCAGGGCCCTGCCTGGCTGAGCGACCAGAAGGCGGGCCAGGTCGCGCAGCCCTCGGGCATGTGCGAGACGTCGAGTATCGTGACCGAGTCGCCGTAGGCCTTGTTGGAGTGGATGCGGATGCTGTCACGCCCGCGTGCGTTGGGCTGGACGCGGTTCATATGGTCTGCGCGCATTACGAACTTCGTATCGGATGCTGCAGAGTAGACAAAAAGGCGGTGAGGAGACGACGTTGATGCGATGGCGGATACGCACCGAAAGACAGGTTGGTGCGCCTGGCTGACCACTTGTCGATGTAGTTGACGCGGCCGTGCGTCGGGTCGTCGACGCTCTCCCACATCCAGTGGTTGAAGAAGTCGTTGCCTACATACTTGTCGGCGAGTGCGTAGCGGGTCCTGCGTGCGTACCGACGTGAGCAGTCCTAGTCACGAACCAGGCGAACCCTGAAGCGTACACATGCTGGTATGGGTCATGTACGGGCCTGTACGGACTGACTGCAGAGGCGATGTAGGGCCGGACGTAGAGAAAGGCGCAGAGGATGAAGAAGCAAGAGCAGGCGATGAGAAGGAGAAGGGGATAGGGCTGTCTGGGATTGGGCATGTCTATGTACTGTGAATGTCGGCGTCGGGAGACATAGCAGCTCACTGCGGCGCAGTCAGGCCGTCTGCGCGAGTGGTGGTCGCGTCGAAGCACGGCCTGGGCGTCATGGCCGTCAAGTCAAATTCATTTTGACTGATCGAGCGTGCAAGGAACACGGGCGCTTCGAGAATTCTTCGCCCACGACAAATTCAGGCCACTCCTTGCGCATAACATATGTACTTAGTCATGACGACCTCCCATTTGTCTGTGTGCTTCTTGCGGTGACTGCGACGCAGATTCTGGACGTACCCGTGACTGTCCCGTGTACGGAAGCATAGGCAGTAGATGAAATCAAGTCTTAGTAGGTGCCGAGATACACCCCGAGCGGAGTGCCACCCATTCCACAAGAGCACTGTGCACAAGCCATGCGTGCGACAATGTGAGCTACATGGGCAGCGTGAGGAATATGTGAGCCAGTAAGTCAACCACGGCGCGTTACATGCCGATGCCGTGTACATCGTTTGTACTGACAGCTCTGAGCTCAGCAGGTCTCTCCGTGGCCTCGCAGAGGAACAGGCAAAAGCTTGCCGGTTGCTGAGCACCCAAGGTTGCGCTGCGGTCCTCATCCGCATAGCTGCGAGTCGCGTTTGTGTACGGCTACAGCGTCTCCGAAGATCAATGGCCAAACGAGGAGCGAGCGCAGGACATGTCCCCCGAGTCCCTGATCTTCACAGTCACGGAAAGCTCGCTACCTCATTCGACTTCCTCCTGGGATTAAAGGGCCCACAAACCCGACCGACGGTGTTTGCTCAGATTCTGTACCTGGTTCTGATCGCGCATGGGAACTTGAAGCGACCAGAATGATTTCGCCGCTATGACAAGAGGGCGCAGGTACGTTCTTTTTTCGTAGACATAGAAAGTCCAGTACGGGCGCATGACATCGTGGCGGGCACCACGGGAGACAGGCCAAGAGGGAGTGCACCCACGATCGGGCTTCCTCTTCACCCTGTCATCCAATTTGGGACGACGGTGGTTCCCCGTGGACGGTGTGTCCTCCTTCTTGCGTTGCCTGCCCGTCCCTCCATTAATACCCTTTTCTCTACTCAGGCCGTCCCCGTGCTCCAGGTCAGCCCGCGTTCCCTGCCAGCATGCGTCCCGCCCTCCCCCTCCTCGTGGCCGCCCTCGCACCCGCGGCTGCTGCGCAACTCTACACCCTCGCGGACGCGTATATTGGCACCGAGTTCCTCAGCACCTGGACATGGCAAACCATCGCCGACCCCACCAACGGCGACGTCAACTATGTTGACCTCGGAACCGCCGTTTCCCAGAACCTCACCTACGGTGCGCACGCGTCTGCTCGCTCCTTTCCGCGCGTCCGTTGATGCTGGTCCTCACGTTCTTTGCAGCGACGCTGGACAAGTTCGTCTTGCGCGCAGACAGCACCAACGTCGTCGCGAACGGCGCCCCCGGTCGCAACAGCAATCGCATCCTCTCCAACAAGGCGTACTCCGACTCCGTCGCCGTGCTCGACCTCCAGCACATGCCCCAGGGATGCGCAACCTGGCCCGCCTTCTGGTCGCTCAGCCAGACTGGGCCCTGGCCCGACGGCGGCGAGATCGACATTATCGAAGGTACGCACTCTGCGGCAGAGCCCACCCCCGTCTAACGCACCCCAGGCGTGAACCTCCAATCTGGGAACCTCATGTCTCTGCACACCTCGCCGGACTGCACCATGCCGGCGACGCGCACCATGTCCGGCTCCGTCACCTCCACGATCTGCGACGCGGACTACAACTCGAACCAGGGCTGCGGCGTCTCCGGCGCGCCGCTCTCGTACGGCGCCGACTTCAACGGCGCGGGCGGCGGCTGGTTCGCCGTCGAGCGCGGGAACGCGACCGGCATCCGCGCGTGGTTCTGGAGCAGGGAGGACGTGGCAAGCGTGCCCCTCGCCGTGCGCTATCCGCTCGTCGCTGCGGTCGCGGGTGTGAGCCCGGACGCGAGCTGGGGCGAGCCGTATGCGGTGTTCCCCATGAGCGCAGAGTGCGGTTATGAGGAGCACTTCAATGCGCACCAGTTCGTGTTTGATTTGACGTTCTGCGTGAGTGTCCTCTGCTCTCTGACGTGGGCCAGGTGCTGACGGCCGAGCAGGGCGACTGGGCAGGGAGCGCCTACCCTACAAGTCACTGTCCTGGGTCGTGTACCGACTGTAAGTAATCAACATCGCTTTCAGTATGTTTTAGGCTTACGTATATGCGTGCTTAGTGGTCAACAACAACCCTGAAGCATTCACAGAGGCCTACTGGGAAGTCAACGGCCTCTGGATCTACACACCTTTCGGCCAGCCAGCCTCGCCGAATCCTCCCCCTCCTTCGTGAAGGGCGCGTCGCTTGGGTGGTCCGTAGCGGTTATACCGCCATGGGAATCTTCGGCGAGACCGCCCTGTCCTTTGCTTCCTGTCGCCTTTTGGGGCCGAGTCGCTTTGTTCACGCGTGACATCGAACAATGTAGGATGGAACACCATACTAATCTCACCGTCATTTGGGTATTAGCTAGAGACATACGTTCGTCACGATCGAGATAGCACATAGCCGGTACTAAAGTATGCGGACCAAAGCGAAGCCTATCACCAGGGGATCACGCTCCCAGTGTGGTTGTACAGCTTGATCTTCTCCTCGAGCTTGGCCTCCGCGATGACCTTCAGGGTGTCCTCCGCGGACTGCTGCACGGTGATGGGCTTCAGGTCCGGGTTGCGCTCCGCCCACCAGTCTTTGATGGTCACACCCAATTCAGTCTCCACCCAGCCTGGTCCGGCGCAGTCGTCAGCGGTCTGTGCACACTTACAGGAAAGAGCGCACTCACCGGGGTGAAGAACGACCGTCGTGATCCCCTCTTGGTACAGGACCGCGGCCCATTTACGGGCGAGGCTAATTACGTGCGCAACGTGTCAGGGACGTGTATGCCCACGAGTCTACTTCTACTTACATGTTGAGCCCGGCCTTCGTAATCGCATAGGTGATCGTCAAGGTGGCGACGGTCGGTGCGAACTCGAGCGAGCCGTTGAAGCTGCTGACGAAGACGACCTTTTTCGCGGAGCCCTTGCGCACCAGCGGGAGGAACTCGCGCACGACCTCGATCGGCGCGACGGTGTTCACGCGGAGCTCCTCCTCAAACACCTTCAGGTCGCTGCCAAAATGAACTCAACACATCAGCTGCACAACTCGACGCCAGTCGGGGGTGGAGGCCGCACCAGGCTCCTCCCCATCCGCCTTCGGGGGGTAGAGGGGATGAATTTCGAGTATGCCAATACAATGCTCATTCTCGATCCTAAGTCCTATATCCAAAAACGTACTAGTTGATCCAAGTCACATGCACCACGCGAGCCAATTCAAACTCCACAATCTTATTCTCCTCTACCCCCCTCTGGCGGCTGGCACAAAACATATACAAACAAACGGAGCCCCGGCTGCATACCTCCCAATTTAGGCGTGTGATCAACCATCCAGATTATGTAATTAACTGGGTCGACTGCCCGAGCGATGTTCTTGCCACTGGCAAGTACTGTGAGTCCCTCTCGAGTCTCGAGCCCTTGCACTGCATGCCCGGGCTGCAGCGTCTTCTCGATCTCCCATACTCCATACCTCCGTCTCGCATGCATCCCATCTCGCCTCCCGTGTGCCTGTTGTCTCGCTGTCTCGTGTGTTGTCTTGCCCCGTCGCGCGCCCGCCAGAATTACTGCGACCTCTCGCCTCGTACGTCCTCTGTCTCGTCAACTCATTGGCCTCTAGTCTCGTCGTCTCGTTTCGCCAATGCCCGCTCTCGTGTGATGCTCTCGACGGTGCCGGCCGCAGCAACGTGTGCGCCTTCGCCTCCGTGTCGAAGACAGACGTCGGAGCGATGTTTGTGCCTCTGGACAGTACCTCCCTCTCGACTCTCTGTCTCGCATGCATCCCGTCTCACGTTCACCGTGCCTGACATCTCGCTGTTTTGTGTGTTGTCTTGCCTCGCCGTGCACCCGCCGTCACTGCGGCCTCTTGTCTCGTACGTCCTCCGTCTCATTGGCCTCTAGCCTCGCCGTCTCGTGAGCCCTGTCCTCTCGCCATCTCGCTTCGCCAATGCCCGTTCGCGCACGATGCGCTCGATGGCGTCGGCCGCGGCAATGTGTGCGCCCTGCGACGGACGTCTTGAGGGTGCGCATGTTGTTCGCGCTGGGCATTTCCTCATCCAGCGTGTTAGCCTGTGCGGATATCGGTGTCGACGCCACTGACGCAGCGTCGCTCGAGCCCTGCACGCAGGGCCACCCGGATCTCGCTCTGGGCGTGCTCAAGGAGGTCCTGCGCCTCCCGCTGCGCACTCTGATGCTTGCTGATCTTGCTCTGCAGTCTCCGGCTCTTACGACTACGTACTCAGGACAGTCGGTACATACCTATCCACTTCAGGCTGGGTCTATGCAACGCGCAATGTCCGGAGCAACGAAAGACGAGCGCACAGGTCTTCTTGAGCTACGTTAATACAACATGCTATCAGGTGCGACAGCTTCCACCGAGTCGGCGAGCTGACGAATGGCTTCCCTGGGGACACCCCGCGGCTGCAGGCCCCTCTCAACCTCGAGTGCGTGTATGTAGATCTCTCGCTGTGCTAGGCGTCCTCGACGGGCCCGGCCAATATTGAAAGCCCAAAATGAACGGCATCAATATGTTCGTTATGAATGCAATCGTTGCGTGTCGGCCTGTGCACTTTGCGCAGGGAGGACGTGTGAACGTTCGCTCTGGTATGTCTTTCCCGGATGCTCAATGTTCAACAGGGAAGGCGGATGTCCGCTACAGACATGCGGGGCATCTTCGACGACATCTCACTCATGCGAGGACTCGGAGCCTGAGTCGTAGAACATCCCCTTGTGCGTGTTGTAGGGCCTGATCATGTACGCCGAGACAGAGCACGCATACTCGCGTGGAAGATATGTGTAATTGATCAGACAAGTGCCTGTGCAGAACAGAATGTGGCCACCGGCGTGCTGATAGCAGGGCGGACAACAGTCAGTGTGCGGAGGGTCGCGCGTTCGGTCATCATGACCCGCCAAGTATGCTCAAGCGAAGGGACGAAATGCATCCAGGATTCTGCGTCGCATGCGAAGTGTGAGAGTCGAGGTTGATGGGGACGAGAACAGCAGAGAGCAATCTCGTCCGTGACATTAGTAGTAGAATACTCATCAGACTCGAGGGGCCTTGCTGATGATGATCCATGACAGAGTTGCGCATATTGGCATATGAATTGAATGTATGTGTCTGACTCATGCAGACGAAACAGGCTGTAGATACTAGTAGCAATGAAAGATCCTTCCGAAGTCCCACGTTTAACATAACATGAGCTGTAAGGGATGCGTAAGCGCCGGGATACATCGCACGAGCGCCCGACGCTCGTCCGAATAGATATATTGTTTTCTTTCCTTTTCCTTTTCCGTTCTCTTTCCTGACTCACCATAGACTCGTTCTAGACCTATTCCTAATTGGTACATGCTATGCTCGGAGTGGCATCGGAGTGGCGACCTGTGCCACAGCTTGCCACTCATCCTTTGTTCTCTGACTCTTCTCGCTTACATCATATGCCTGGTTCGCTCGATTCGGTCTACGTTCACTCATGTATAAATACAGTACCTACGACGGGCAAAGGCCCAAGCTTCGATACGAGGACGTTGCCTACTCACCTGTGTCCGCGTCCAACTATCGACTTCCCGTGTGTTTCCGACCTCGCCGACGCTACGCCCACCCGCGCCAACGCGCCGACGAGCCGGATTCCTCACAAGCAATGATTATCATTTCGCAATGTTGAACACATTCGAACCAGTATAGGTATCAAGCACTAACAACATGCGCGGGTTTGTCAAAGACCGCAGACTGGACCAAAAGCAGACGTCCCCTCCCGCTCACCGGCCACTGGTACATACCAGGATGATACCTTTCCGCCGCAGGCGCGTTGCACTGTCGCACGTGCTCGCTACGAAAATTCAAAAATACTCATTGATTGACCGGCGAGAAAACATTCATCAGCTGATGGGGCTACCATATGGGGGACGCCATCACCGGGCTCCCGGTGTTTGTATATGTTTTGTGCCAGCCGCCAGAGGGGGGTAGAGGGGAATAAGATTACGGAGATTCAGGATCGGGCGGGGATAGAAGTTTTTGATGGGATGTGGCTGAGGTGTGGCGGATGAGGATAGGGACACAAAGCACAGTTTGCGGTCTCGAAATTTCGTCCCCTCTACCCCCCGAAGGCGGATGGGGAGGAGCCTGAGGCCGCACATGCTCTCGAAGCTCGCGCTCTCCTGAAAGCTCACACCCGCGTTGCTGATGAGGTAATCGAGCCCGACGGGGAGGAGGTGCGCTGCCTCCGCGGCGGCCTTCGCGATGCTCTCGTAGTCGGAGTAGTCGAGCTGGACGACGGCGAACCGCGCCTTGGGGTAGTCGTTCCCGAGCTTCACGGTGCTTTCAGACTCGGGGTTGCGCACCGCGGCGATGACAAAGTTCTCTGGGTCTTGGAGCTGTCGGGCAGTTGTTAGCGGACGTTCTGTGTGGCCCCTGCGTGCTTGAGTGGAAGACAAGATACTCACGAGCTTCGTCGCTATGCCGAGGCCGATGCCTCTGCTGGCTCCGGTGACGAGGTAAGAAGGCATGCTGTGAGGTTCCGGTTGTTCTGCTAGCTGGTCGGTGGGTGTTCTGTGAGTGCTGCCCTACCCTCTGGCCTTTCTCTTATACAGTCGGTCATGTTGGAGCTCGTCCGTAAGGCCTAAGCCGTGGGTAGTTTGAGGATTGCGGCGATAGTCTGGCATCCAGTCATTTTCCGATTCGCCCGGGAATTAGTGTTTCAAAGTAGTAAGGAGTCGAAATGTGGACATCCATCACTTGGTCAACATTTTTGGTCGGTGGAACTTACCTTCCGCGTCAACAGAGAATTCTCTCCGAAGACAACACCGCACTAGACGACGTCCCCCTTGGTCGGATCGTTGGTCGCGCACATCCTGCGGCAGGGCGCCCATGAACAATCGCGCCACCGCCGGATTACTGGCGGCGTGCGGTAAGCACACAGCCTGACATAGAGCGTTGGACCTCTTCCGGCTTCCCAGTCTGGTATGACCGAAGCTTGCCCGATTGTTGACTCTTGCAGATTTGAGGCCGGCCGTAAGACGCCAGCGCGGAACGACGTCCAGTGGTGAGTCTTCCAGCAAGTGTAGGACATTTCCCGATCACCTCGGGATACAGGGCCCTGAGGACAGCAGGAGAAAACCGAACGGCCCTCACCGAGCCTCGATCATGCCATAAGTATACCTGCAATACATCCGAAGTGGACTAGAAGTACACGTCTCCCGAAACATGTTCTCCGCTACAAACGTGCCTTTCCGATCTTCCCGAGGGCCTGAATCACGATCTCCGTCATCGCGAGGACAGCCTCTTCTTCGAGGGGCCTTCCGACCAGCTGAAGACCCACCGGCATACCGTTGAATACCTGAGGATCATCTACATCGAAGCGAGTGAACTCGAGTGGGAGGGAAGACGACACCACGACCACGTACACATGCCGTGGTAGATCTTGTCGATAGAGCTGTGGAACGAATGCGGCGGAGACTTGACATCCACCCGTGCGTCCACCTTCGTGACAGGGAACACCGTCGCAGCGTAGTCGAGGGTGTTCCACACCGTGGTATAGTTCGTGTACCTTCATCCCGCTCAGCACGCGAAGTCCAAGGACTCACCGATTAGAAGAGACCTACTGGTTCTGCCCGTGAGGCGCAGCAACGCTCGCCGATGCGGGGCAAATGATAGCATCCACCGGTCGCCCAGTACCCGTTTGGCTGGCAGTTTTCTGCCAGTGTTCGAGATACGCCTTGCGCATGTTGAAGAGCTTGTTCTGCAGCTGCCATAGCTGGTATGCATGCACGTCTTTCGCGCCATCGCCGGTGAAGAAACCCGGGGACGTGTCTTCGTCGGTGCCCATGCCCGAGAGGAGCGGCTCGCCGTGCTCAGCGACGTGGGATTGTATGTCGCGGCGGGAGCCGGCGCGCCAGATTGTGTTCTGTCGGCAGGGTACTGTGTCAGAATATGTCTGGTATCCTTGATGAGCACGGGGAACATACAGCAAGCCTGGCGAACTCATAGTGATTCAGAGGTTCCCAGTCGGTCACTGGGGAGGAAGCAAATCAGCTTCGACGTTCGCAGATCAAGCCAAGATGATGTGCCTGTATGGCCCGCAGCGGTCAATGCCTCCTTC